CTTTCTTTCGGCTGAATCGCTTATTTTGTCTATGCAGACAATGAAAGGTCCCTTATCTTCACAATCATATTTATTTTGCGTATTATTATTGAAATTCTTTTCACTCACAGTCTTTTGATTCGGTTTCACTTGGTTGGTTGTTTGGGTGTTTCCTTCTTCTTCTCCTCCTTTATTTTCTGTTCTTTTATTCCTTTGCTTCTTGTCGAGATAGTTGATGCTGCGTAAGTTTTTGGTTTCGGGACCGTACCACTCGGTGGCAGCTTTCCCTTTCCGTTTGAACTCATTTCTGGTCCTTCCACGAAAACTGCTGTTTCCAGGAATCCCAGAAGTTCTGAGAAATTTTACACGATCGGGGTTTTGGCGGCAAAAATGGCTTCCAATGACAGTAGTACCGTACAACCTTCTCGTCTGGCGGCTGAACGCGGAATGTGTGAACTGGAAGAATAATAAGAAAACGTAAACGTTACCCAATTATATTTTTACAATTTTTGACGCATTCGTAAACAGAGTTGCGCTGCGTAGGGACCCCTGGAATCTGCATGCCTATTTCCAATCTTTTAGCTTTTTTAGTTTCTGATATCTCAGCGTTCATACGGACAGACAGACGGACAAGGCTAGATCGACTCGGCTAGTGACCCTGATCGGAAATGCTTTCTTCTAGCTGTTACATACTCTTGCCCGAATACAATATACCCTTTTACTCTACGAGTGACGGGTATAAATAGGAGTTCTATTGTCAAAAACTTAACATGCTTTGATATTTGTATATATAAGTGTGAGCATTGACTAACAAGGAATTAACTTATCCAAAACAAAAGATATACAAAATAAATAATATTAAGAATTTAAGATGGGTCGGAAAGAAAACCGTTTAGTCCGGGAGTATTTCGTGCACAAAATCAAATGCTTTGCAGAATCTGCAACACTTCCCTTAAAGGAAATTTTATAACCAGTTTAGAACGTCATATGAAGACCAAGCATAATGAAATTTGGAAGAAAAATATTTCGAACGGCGACATTGCACTTTCAGAACCAAAAAAGCAGAAAATTGTGTTGCATATGGACGAACAAGAACTTGGTAACAGTAGAAAAAGTTCCATTCTCACTTTTTGTCTCGGAATCTTTTAAAATATTAACCGGACAGATCTTCAGGGGTCTAAATATGCTTTCAGTAACGTCAACCAATATAATGCATTTTATAACGGACGAAGGACAAAATCATTAATTTAACGATTGATTCAGCACAGTTTTATTCAGAAAAAAAACTTAAAGTACTAACCCTCGGAATGATAGAGCTAACCAAAAGGCATACCGGAATAAACCTCAGCCAAACTATTGGAAATGTTCTGCAGGGCTACAATATAGATAAAAAACAGATTTATTGTGTTACCACAGATAATGGCAGAAGTATGGTGAAAACGGTTGAGCTATAAAACCAAGATGAAACGCTTAGTAACGCAGAAGATCTGGAAGACGTTACTGACGAGATACAGCTTCATGACATTACTTTTATTAAATGTGCAGCTCATACTCTACAACTGGCTGTCAAGAATTTTCTTAAATTATCAGACTTTCAAATTGTATTAACAAAATCTCGAGACTTGGCCGAAACATTGAGATGTCCAATTAACAGGTAAATATTATTTTTTTATCCAAAGGTTAGCTTTTTGATACGACCTTTTTTCAGTAATGCAGTAATGCATATTCTTCACAATCTGCCACGGAACTCTGATAGAGGTTAAAGACAGTACAAAGTCCAACACACACTAAGGGCTTGATCAGCTGTTCGAAGTTTGCCGATCTGGCGACGCTATAATTCCCAACCAGTTATAGCGCGGCTTGCATAGTAACCCACTTCGATCGTTGACAAAGACAGCGATTTCACTGCTGATGATTGTAAATGACTACTACATAAAACTTGCATGTACAGTGAAGCCTCTTCGCCCCTTTTTGTGTGTTTGGCATAGAGCTGCAAAAACATCGATGGTAGGCCCCATCGATAGTTTTAATAGTTTGCGGAATTAACCTCGACATTGGGAAAACATTGGGAATCCTTAAAAAAATTAAAAATTTTAATTGTTGAAAATTCAAAACGCAATTAGATTAAATTAAAGTAAGATCTTTTTAATACATATCCATACATATGGATCAGTAATCAGTGATCAATTTTGTCTGCTGAACGCTTGTGATAAATTTCAATGACGTAAAAGTAAAAAACAATGCGCGCGCAATCTGAAAAAAAATGTTGTAAAAATTAAAAATGGCTGAACAATTATAAAGAATTCCACCGAATTGATAGGGGGATTCCCTAAACTGTTGAATTGCTGAATTGTTGAAAATTCAACAAAAAATTTCAGCAACTTAGGGAACGACCCAAAATGGTTCCTGTTGAATTTTCAAACAGCTGTTATTTGTTGAAAAGTTTTACGGAACTTAAAGCATGTAAAATTTAATTTATTATTGCTAGTTACTGTCTAAAAGTGTTACCAAGGTAAAAAGAACCACAAATATGCTTTCTAAGTTGATTTTAAAATAAATAATGCGTACTAATGATACTAAAATGTTACAGAGTTGCCACGACTTTTAAAAAAAGGTGACAACTCTGGCTTTTCAGCAATTCAACAAAATTTTCAGCAGCCTCGAGGGTGTTGAATTGCTGAAATTTCTGAAAGTTGACTTTGTATGGAACAGCTGATTAACAGCTGACCAAAATTCAACAATTCAGCAATTCAACAGTTTAGGGAATCCCATCGATGGTTCCATCGATTTTTTTGCAGCTCTAGTTTGGCATAATGCCGACGTCTTGGACTTCTTGTTTGAGTTTGAGTTTGCTAAAAACTTCTCTATTATTTTTTATCTAAATAATTGTATCTAATATTTACTGTGGGTAGGTATTTGCTTTCAGGCATGAATTTACCTCAGCCAGAAGTTGATACACCAACTAGATGGAGTTCTTCATATAATATGTTGTATAAATTAAAACTTTTTCAAGACTTCCTGGATGTTCACCCAAATAATAAAAACTTGTCATTGCCGGAATGGAGAGAAGTTAACGCACTTGTGGCCGTTCTTGAACCGGTATATATAACAACCAAGAAATTACAAGAAGAACAACTGTATTTCTCAGATTTGTATAAATCCTGGATGGAAATGAAACTGCAAATTCAAACTATGATCAGTTCGGTAAGCTCCTTGCTATCGAACTGCCTGCAAGCTCGTGAAAGGAATTTAATTCAAAACGATCTAAATTTGGCTTCGTTATATTTGGATCCTAGACTTCGCCGACTGTTAAATGTAGATCCTGGCAATTTTAAGGTAGCTAGGAATCATTTGAAACGAATAATTCGTAAAATTTATGGCCTGACTTACGGGGTAAATATGTTTTTCCTATTTTAGAAAAATCTTACTTCGAACCATAATGCTTTGGACGAAAATACCAATCACAATAAGAGTAGCAGCTCAATCCTCAGTACATTTCTTAACGCGATCGAGGTTGACGATATTGAGAAAGAACCAGAAGATGAAGTGCTCCAAAACGGATAAAATAAAATTAATAACTACAATCCATTTTCCATTAGTTTTTGTGGTTTTCCTTTATAATTGTTATTGGCACACCGCTTCTGCACAAACACAGCCAAAGATCAAATTTTTTATTCTTTGGCCCGCGGCTAAAGCCTAGTACTCAGTACGACGAAAACTGCTAGCTAAGCATAGGAGTAAGCGAGAGGCAAATAGGTAGCTAAAGCCCTTAGCCGGGGACTTTTTCCCACCTCGGTACTCAGTTGAGCTAAGGAAATAGTAAGAAAATACCACTAAAATACTAGATTTAGCGGATGAATTCTGATGAACGCCTTTAGCCGCGGCCCAAAGAATAAAAAATTTGATCTTTGGCTGTGTTTGTGCAGAAGCGGTGTGCCAATAACATATTATAAATAGAATGAAAACCCCAAAAACCAATGGAAAACTGCCTGTAGGAGTTGCAGCAATACATATCCTCATTCCAACAGCAAATTTAAAGCTTGCGACCTAGGTCGGCTAATCATTTTGTAATATTTCAAAATTGGCGCCAGTTAATTTGCTTGCTGAGAGTAAGACCATTCTACATGCATTGCGGATGAACTCCGAAAACTTCGGTCACACTAAAAGATTAATATTTTTCGACTAGTAAAACTCTTAGCCGAACTGAGTACTAGGCTTAAAGGAGTTCATCGTAATTCATCCGCTAAACCTAGTATTTTTTGGTATTTCCTTACCATTTCCTTAGCTCAACTGAGTACCGCGGTGGAAAAAAGTCCTCGGCTAAAGGCTTTAGCTACCTATTTGGCTCTCGCTTACTCCTATGCTTAGCTAGCAGTTTTCGTCGTACTGAGTACTAGGCTTAAGGCTGTACTGAGTACTAGGCTTATTCACAGACAGAGTGCCTGATGGACGACACAAATAGTAAAAGGGGCAGAATATTTTTTGGCCCTACGGCAGTTTTTAACGATATCTAAAAGTGGTACAAAATCAAGATTTTTACACAAAATAGAGGTGGGGAAGAGTGAAAAGAAAAGGCCATTATAAAACATAAAATCCATATTTTTCCAATGTCCCGAGCGACTCTTATTTTTAAAAATGTCGCGTCCGTCACCTGGAAAGGCCCATATACCATTTCTCTAATATTTTAAAACTATTGTATTTATTTATACATTTTTAAAAAGTACGTTATAAATTAAATGCACATTCAAAATACGTTATCATTTCAAATTCAAAATGCGGAGCTGCCAACTCATTTTTTACAACACTAAATAATACTAAATATACTAAATATACTAGTGTTGAAAACTTAAAAAATAAATAATAAATAAATAAATTAAATCTTTCTTCTTACAAACAAAATCATGCACATAGAAGGATCGTAACATTTTTTCAAATATCAGCTGTTCTAGTTTACAAATCCGTAATGATTTTTTTTTTTTTTATTGCATAAAGTGGTATTTAGTATTTTTTCTGCGTAAGATGTTTAGGTTTCCACGGTCACACTGAGAACAAATGAATTACTTTGTTTTTGTTACTATACTTGCTATACTTCTGTAACCAAAGGTGAATAATTCTGCCCCATGACGTCCATAGCAGGAGGACACGGCGAGGCGAATCCTAACAGCTCCTGGCTTAGCGCCCGCGGATTCTGGTTGGCCTACCTGTTGGGTCTGTTGTCGATTCACCTGCTCTTCTTATCAGTGCCCTTCGTAAGCATTCCGTTGGCCTGGACGGCCACCAATCTGCTCCACAATGCGGTGAGTGATCATGGTGCCCGAGGGCCGGCAATCAGTCTATCCTAACCCTCTGTGCCCAGGCCCACCTGTACTTTCTGCACGTCATCAAGGGCGCCCCGTGGCTGAGCACGGAGAACGACCCCAGCCGGCGGTGGACGCACTGGGAACAGATCGACGACGGAGTGCAGATGACCGCAACACGCAAGTTTCTCACCGCCGTTCCCATTGTGCTGTAAGTGCATCTAAGTTTAAGGCCCGTTTTCTTGTTCGCATGCTACATTTATCTGAAGAGTCATTTAGTTTTGATTAAAATCACTAATTTATCAGTTTAAAAACTGTATAAAAGTCACAGCTAAATAATAAAATGGATTTTAAGTCCCCATTATTAAAAACCATAATAAATGGTAAGATGGGTGCTTTTTTGGCTTAAGAGAGATGTGATCAATCGGGCATTAGAATTTTTTTAACATAGTACTCCATAAGAATGTTGCTGTAAATTTATTTATAGAGCCCACACAAAAGTATAAAAACTAATCTCTTTACTGTTTATAAATACATCTGTACGATTCTTTTCCTTTCATAGATTCCTACTTACTTGCCTGTACACCCGGAACAATACAGAACACTTTATAGCAAACTTTATATCGCTGGTGGTCGTCTCGCTTCCCAAGTTGCCGCAGTTTCACGGCGTGCGATTATTTAACATTAACAAGTACTAGGATATGTGCCATTGGATTTATTTTGTTTTAAAAAAATGTATATAATTCTTTTGACGGCACATCACTAGTCAAATTGTAAATCATGTAAATATTAAAAAAAAAAACTTAATAATAAAAAATATTATACACATCACGTCTGTATCTACTCGAAGGCAACCTTGGTTTTCCGGTAAAGTACATCTCCCTAATTAAAAAATGGGCACCCAAAACAATTTTTTTGGTTCAATTTTTTTGTAAGTGTAATAAACGTATTCTTAAGAATTCGCGGTCCGTCGAGGATAATTTTTTCGCGAATTTTGGGGGTGAGGACCGTAAACTAGAGTATTACCAAAACTTCTTATGAAAACAACGTCAAGAATTTTTTATACCCTTGCAGAGGGTATTATAATTTTAGTCAGAAGTTTGTAACGCAGTGAAGGAGACGTTTCCGACCCCATAAAGTATATATATTCTTGATCAGGATCAATAGGGGAGTCGATATAGCCATGTCCGTCTGTCCGTCTGTCCGTCCGTCCGTCTGTTTCAATACCGTTTGCAAGCTCAGTTTAAAAGCTAGCGCCTTGAAACTTTCACAGTTGTCCTAAAACATGTGTACGCAGATCAAGTTTGAAAGCCATTGGATTTATTTTGTTTTAAAAAATGTACATCATGTAAATATTCCAAAAAAATATTCCTTTTTAACGAGTAAATTTTAGGTAGCGTACTTATTTAGTCGCATCTAAAATCATACATACTTTTGCACGAATACAATATACGCTTTTACTCTACGAGAAACGGGTATAAATATTGCGTACTTCAACATGAAAAATATAATTTTGGAAATTCATTGAAAAGGAAGTACTTATTTAAAAAAAGCGATTACCGAAAACTAAGGCAAAACCACATCGATCAACCAACCACATTGATCAACCAATTTTTTTTGAAGGAATGGCTTAATTTGGGGATGACACTCAAAGGCACTCGAAAAGAAAAGTACTCATTTCCTAAAAAAAAACAGTAAAAATCAACAAATAAATTTATTTTTAGTTGTCTTAAATTTGGAACACTTGTATGGACGCGAAAAAAGATATAAATCGTTTGGACGGAACATAATCAATGGACCTTTCTATGACATATTGGCCAAGAAAAATACTAGTATTTTTACTTTATTTTTTAGAAAAAAGTCATAGTAGCCGTTACTAATATACAAAGCAACAGTATTGAAAAAAATGATTTAGGGCTAGTACTCAACCCAACAAAAAGTAGTCCAAAACAAAAAACTTGTTATGAAAACAACGTCAAGAATTTTTATACCCGTTACTCTTAGAGTAAAAGGGTATATTGTATTCGTGCAAAAGTATGTAACAGCTAGAAGGAAGCATTTCCGATCCTATAAAGTATATATATTCTTGATCAGGGCCACTAGCCGAGTCGATATAGCCATGTCCGTCTGTCCGTATGAACGCTGCGATCTCGGAAACTATAAAAGCTAGAAGATTGACATCTTGCATGCAGATTCTAAGAGTTCCTACGCAGCGCAAGTTTGTTTCAAAAGGGTGCCACGCCCCCTCTAACGCCCACAATCGCTAATATACGATTTTAAAAATTTCAATATTTCGGAAAAGTTAAAATTCAGTTTTATGGTGTTAATCAATACCTATCGAAATGTAGAATAAATTTTTTAAATCGGACCATTCGTTAAAAAGTTACGGCGGATCAAAGTTTTACCATCTCCATCGCACTCCCTTTAGCTGAGTAACGGGTATCTGATAGTCGGGGCACCCGACTATAGCGTTCTCTCTTGTTTTATTTTTCATATGCAATATTTGGTTTTGGACGACTTTTTGTAGGATTGAGTTCTAACCCTTAAAGAGAAACAAAACATTTTTAAACAAGAAAGGAAGCTAGCTTCGGCCAGCCGAAGCTTATATACCCTTGCAGATCATTCCTATTAATTAACAAATCGCAAAAATTTACAATTTTCTAATATTTCTCATTAATTTTCCGATCGTTCCTATGGCAGCTATATGATATAGTCGTCCGATTTTGATCAAATTAAAATTGAAATTCGGAAATATTAAAAAGAGTCATATCCTAGAGTAGAAGATAATACAATAAAAACCAAAGAAGCTAGAATTTATTTCCTATTACTTTTCCATTAATTTTCCGATCGTTCCTATGGCAGCTATATGATATAGTAGTCCGATTCTTAAAATAATTAATTCGAAAATCAGAAAAATTTAAAAAATAACATCCCTAAAAGTAGAAGGTAATATTTCAAAAAACACCAAAGCTAGAATTTTTTAAAGTTTTTTTCTTCCGATCCTTCCTATGGGAGCTATAAGATATAGTTGTCCGATCCGGTCGGCTCCGACATATATACTACCTGCAATAGAAAGAAGACTTTTGCGAAAGTTTTGTCCCGATAGCTCAAAAACTGAGAGACTAGTTTGCGTAGAAACAGACAGACGGACAGACGGACGGACAGACGGACATGGCTAGATCGACTCGTCTTGTGATGCTGATCAAGAATATATATACTTTATGGGGTCGGAAACGTCTCCTTCACTGCGTTGCAAACTTCTGACTGAAATCATAATACCCTCTGCAAGGGTATAAAAAGGGAAGAATTTTAAATTGATAAATATTTAACGGCTACTATGATCTTTTTCTGAAAAGTAAAACGAAATACCAATATTTTTCTCTTGCAAATGCGGAGGTCAAACTTGTTTTTAGGCATATAGTCTAGGGTGGGTCGATTTGGAGGTTTAAACGTAGTTTTATGCATATAGTTTATGGGGCAATATGGCTTAGAAATACCCAGAGATTGTTTTCCGCACAAACGATTTATTATTTTTTTCAGGTCCATTCCAGTGTATAAAATTTAGGACTGTGATATTTTTCATTAAATACTATGTTTTTCTTTTGCAAATGCGGAGGGTCAAACGTGGTTTTTAAGATATATTTTATTTCGCAATGTTGCTTAGAATTCCTCCTAGATTGCGTTCCACCCCCTACGATTTATCACTTTTTTAGGCCCATACCAATCGACCCAGTCTAATGTATACTATACTATAAGTAATAAGTAATCGCCTTTGCACACTCTCCTTGTGCGCTTTGTCATTTCGTGTACTGCCGTCTACAATGATTGGTTGGTAGATTTTGAAAGAAAATTATTGTGAAAATTACAACCGATCCGCCGTGACGTGCTTTGTGTGATTGGGCTATTAGGCGTAAATCGAAATGGAAGCTTATTGATATTGAGCTATTTAATTTAAGGTATTTTGGCCACACCGAGAAAACTTTTCCATTTTTGTTTTGTTACCTGAAAAAACATCTTTATCTTTTTGTGAACAAGTCGCCTTAAACTGATAACAGCTTATATTTTTTTCTTTGTCATTTGTCGCGTTAACGAAATGGAGAATAGAGAATGCGTTTTTAACAAAGTCCAGTTGATAAAAAATTTAGGAAAAGCTGTTGAGACCTTTTTAAATAGAAATGATTTGACTATGAAAATAAACGAATCATACAATCTTAACATTGTGTTTAATAAGGATGAATTCAAGATAGACATTTCAGAAACTAAGTCCCATCAATCCACGAAAAACTTTCTCGAACAGGCCCAAAAAAAGATAAACAGCTTAACGGAAGAAATTGCTAAATTGAAGAATGACGCTTTGCAAAAAGATAAGCAACTAAAAGAGAAGACTGCCGAACTGAAATTCAAAGTTAATTCAGAAATTCCCAAGCCCATTGCCGTGAGGAGTATTATTATCGATGAAACCCCTGATAATCTGGGTTGGACCGTCATTCAGTGTAGAAAAACCGGGCACCTTGATTTTATTACGGAGAGCTACTTATACAATAAAGGATTTGGTGACTCATCTGATGAGTACTGGATCGGCTCAGAGGCACTACATAAGATTACGAAAGCCCAAAGACATGAACTTTACATCGCTTTTGAGGATACAGCTGAAGGGAAAAAATATGCTCGGTACGACAACTTTTTAGTTGGCAGTTTGGACGAAAAGTACAGACTCAAGTCCCTCGGAAATTACTCTGGAGACGCCGGCGATGCATTGCGAGACCATGAAAACCAGAACTTTGAATTCTATAATAATTGTAATGGTGTATATAAATCATTCTCGTGGTGGACTGCTTCCTGTTTTAAGTGGTAAGTTAGATTATTATAAAATAAATAAAATACATATATTAACCTAGAATTGTTACTTTTCAGTAATTTGAATGGCAATTACGGGCTAAAGAAAACGAATCTTAAACCAGAAGGATTTTGGTGGGGTGCGCTAGAATCGCTTAGGTATTGTAAAATGAGCATTAGACCAATTTAAATTAACCGACTTTCTTTGATTTCCTGATATCTTTTTATCAATATTATTATTGTAAGACCAAAAAAACTATCGAGCTATATGTAAAATGTATACGCAATTATGAAACATGCAATTCGGGCTTTATATTATTATATAGAAACAAATATATAATGTATTATATATGTTACAGAATAACGAATAAAAGGGCAATAGTAAAAGAGCGGAGATCCCCTCTTTTTATTTTTTATTGATTATAAAGCACTTCACTTGTAGTTTGATCTATTATGAAAATTTGAACACTCCTGAACACTAAATCAAATGCATTAAATACCAAAGACAAATTAGCACTCTTCAATTTTAAGTATTGGCAAAACTTTTTATATAGCTATAAGTTGAACCGGAGAATTCTATAATTTCAGATGGTATGGGTAGCTTTTAGTGTAAGCAAGCTTACTCTCCATATTTATATAAGTGCTTCGCTGACAGTCGCGCCCCTCAGGAAGTGTATAAATATTCTACTTAAGTGGCGATTAGACTGCTGTTTTATCTCCCTCTTTCGATAACGCTGACTGTTGTGGGCGCAAACAAAACGGGGGGTGGCAATTGACTTCTGACAAGCTGATTGCCCGGTTTGACTTTGAGGGAGAAGCTCGCGACCCGAACGACTTTGGCTAGCCATAATCAGTAGTAAATTTGTAGTAAACAGAGGTGTGCCGGATCGGTGCCTTACTGACACCCAGGCAGTTGCTGTCAACCGTTTTAAGGGGAAGGAACGAGACCGAGACGCACCGAAATGTCTATTACCCTAGAGGAGGAGATCTTCGGCCTGGCCGTGAATCCGTTTACCAAATCCCCGGAAATGGTGCGCAAGTTCACGCTGAAGAACGCCAAGGGCATGAGCGTTTCGGTGATCCAACTGGGGGCCATCATCCAGAGCGTCTGTATGCCGGACGCCTACAAGAAGGTCGATGACGTATGCCTCGGATTTGACGACATCGCCAGTTACGTGGCCAACAAGGGGGCCTACATTGGAGGAACCCTCGGACGAGTGGCCAACCGGGTGGCGAACGGCGAGTACACGGTGAACGACACGAAAGTCTCGGTGACCAAAAACATCCAGGTAATGATTTTCTTTAGACCCGAACCTAGGTCAGCTAAAACCGTGCAGACCTTTAGCCGGTAATTCCAATACCTTTGGTTCGGGAATGGTTGTAACAAATTAAGTAGAACTAATGTAGAAACTTCCAACATTCAGGACAAATTCCAGCTGCACGGTGGATTCGTGGGATTCGACAGTGTCATCTGGGAGGTGGTGCAGAAGTCGTCCGAGGGGGTGGTCTTTCGGCACGTTTCGCCACACGGTCACGAGGGCTATCCGGGCAAGCTAACGTGCCTGATCACATACCAGTTGGACAATGAGAACCGGCTGTGGGTCAGGTACGAGGCTACCACAGATCGCCCAACTATGGTCAATCTCGCTAGCCACGCCTACTTCAACCTGGCGGGTCACGGATCTGGGGCAAAGGGTCTGGCGGAGCACACGGTGGAGATTGCTGCCGATCACATTGTGGACACGGACGAACTTCAGATCCCCACGGGCAAGTTGGTCGACGTCAAGGACACCGTCTTCGATCTTAGGCTGCCCGTGCTGATGCGAGATCGCCTCATGCAGTTTGAGGACCGTTTGATCAAGGGCTACGACAACTGCTTTGTGATCAACGGAGGCCAGCTGCAGAAGACCGTCGCCAAGGTGGCCAAGATCGTGCATCCGCAATCATGCAGGGTCCTGGAGGTCTGGACCAACCAGCCCGGCATGCAGTTCTACACCGCGAATAATTTAACCTCTGTAGTAGGCAAGAATTGCACCCAGTATGTCAAACACGGCTCATTCTGCGTCGAGACGGAGAAGTTCCCCGATGCCATGAACCACCCGGAGTTCCCGTCGATCAGCCTCGAACCCAATGATAAGTACCAGCACGAGGTCCTGTACTGGTTTAAGGTCGAGGAGTCCTGGAAGTGCTGCTGCAACAACGACCCGTGAGCGTTGCTGTGATCTCTCGTAAATAAAGCCAGATTATTAGACTGGTTTCCAACCCCAAAGGCTATTATTGATTTTCTATTTTAAAGAATCGGCTGCGGGGTCAAAAAAGATAAGAGAAGGCAGGAAGTTAGCTTAACTAAACTTTCCATCAATATCAAATGATATTAAAACAATAAGGTATAAGAATGCGAATAGTATATGTAAAAACTGTTTCAGAAAAATCGAAAATGTGACCCAAAAAAGGTGTGGGGTTTCTAAAAGAACTTCCCATTTTTAATTTAAACAGTTTTTAATTTTCCTCGAAGTTAAATTAACATACAATTAGGCCTTTATTTATTTACCTATATGGCTGGAAGAAATATCTTATTCTGATATAAAGGTCCTTAAAGATTAACCACTTGTACATTCTGTTTATTTGTCATCTATTTTAAAGAGCATATTTTTTGGAAGTTTCTCAAGTGCAATTGCTTTCTTCCGTTAATATTTCCCGTACAAAATCAATTTATTGAAATTCTTATAGATCATTACGAAAGCTTTTGATTTAGTGGTCCAATCTGCTTGAATTTTATATACAAGGTTCAATTTCGATTGGATGCAAGCAGAAGAGACAAGCTAATAGAGTTTTATTTGAGAGTGTTATGAATGAAAATCAGAAATAAGAATTCCACCGTGTTACAAAATTAAACATTTTATTTACCTCGATGGATGCTTAAAAGCCTCGTTCACTTTAAATCTCAATGTTCAAATGTTCTCCCACGTAAAACCGACCTAAAAATAAATAGATTCCGTTTATTTGATATCATTTTTTTTGAGCAAACTGGTAAAGTTATTAAAATATAATTTTTATACCCTTGCAGAGGGTATTATGATTTCAGTCAGAAGTTTGCAACGCAGTGAAGGAGACGTTTCCGACCCCATAAAGTATATATATTCTTGATCAGCATCACAAGACGAGTCGATCTAGCCATGTCCGTCTGTCCGTCTGTCCTTCTGTCCGTCTGTCCGTCTGTCCGTCTGTCTGTTTCTACGCAAACTAGTCTCTCAGTTTTTGAGCTATCGGGACAAAACTTTCGCAAAAGTCTTCTTTCTATTGCAGGTAGTATATATGTCGGAGCCGACCGGATCGGACAACTATATCTTATACCTCCCATAGGAACAATCGGAAAAAAAAACTTTAAAAAATTCTAGCTTCGGTGTTTTTTGAATTATTACCTTCTACTTTTGGGGATGTTATTTTTTAAATATTTCTGAATTTCGAATTAATTATTTAAAAAATCGGACTACTATATCATATAGCTGCCATAGGAACGATCGGAAAATTAATGGTAAAGTAATAGGAAAAAAATTCTAGCTTCTTTGGTTTTTATTGTATTATCTTCTACTCTAGGATATGACTCTTTTTAAATATTTCCGAATTTCAATTTTAATTTAATCAAAATCGGACGACTATATCATATAGCTGCCATAGGAACGATCGGAAAATTAATGGAAAAGTAATAGGAAATAAATTCTAGCTTCTTTGGTTTTTATTGTATTATCTTCTACTCTAGGATATGACTCTTTTTAAATATTTTCGAATTTCAATTTTAATTTGATCAAAATCGGACGACTATATCATATAGCTGCCATAGGAACGATCGAAAAATTAATGAGAAATATTAGAAAATTGAACATTTTTGCGATTTGTTAATTAATAGGAATGATCTGCAAGGGTATATAAGCTTCGGCTGGCCGAAGCTAGCTTCCTTTCTTGTTTTCCTTGTTACTCATAGAGTAAAAAGTAGACGGAAACGTTTAAAACCCTGTAAAATCTTTATTGATTGTTATTGTACAATTAAACTAATTGGATAAGAAAAACAAGAGAGAACGCTATAGTCGGGTGCCCCGACTATCAGATACCCGTTACTCAGCTAAAGAGACTTTGATCCCCCGTAACTTTTTAACGAATGGTCCGATTTGAAAAATTTCTTCTACATTTCGATAGGTATTCATAAACACAATAAAACTGCATTTTTAGTTTTCCGAAATATTGAAATTCCTAAAGTCGTATACAAGCGATTGTGTTAGAGGGGGCGTGGCACCCTTTTGAAACAAACTTGCGCTGCGTAGGAACTCCTAGAATCTGCATGCAAAATGTCAATCTTCTAGCTTTTATAGTTTCCGAGATCTCAGCGTTCATACAGACAGACAGACGGACAGACAGACGGACAGACGGACAGACGGACATGGCTAGATCGACTCAGCTAGTGATCCTGATCAAGAATATATATAGTTTATAGGGTCGGAAACGCTTCCTTCTACCTGTTACATACTTTTGCACGAATCTAATATACCCTTTTACTCTACGAGTAACGGGTATAATTACAAGAACAAACTTTTAAAAAGTGAAGGGCGGGAGCACTACTGCTATTTTGACCGCAGATGTATGTTTTTACGTTTTATGGCTATATTTTATTTTATGCCTGTGTTTTTTTTGCCTGTGATACCCCCAAAAAGTTAGCCAAATTCAGAATTTTTCGAACTTTGATGTCCTTCTGCTAAGAACCTTTGCTTCGGGAAACTTTTTGGAAAATGCAGTTTAACTTGGGAATTCGTAAATTTAAAAATTAATAATTTTTTAATTTGAATTTTCTACTTTAAACGAAAACTACTGGCCCGAATTCTTCGAAACTTTGGCATAAATTAGTTTAATGTATTATAAAAAGGACCCCAAAAATCGGATTGGCTGGCCCAGTATGCACTGCAAAGCAAAAAAAGGATAAATCAATTTTGTACATTTAACATTAAAGTACCCCTCTACGATCTCAGTGGGCTTAGATCTGACAGTAGAGCGTGTGTGCTATTTGGAATTCTCAAATACAAAAGTCGCCCCAGCAACGCGGTCTAAATTTTAGTTATCTCCCTCTAGGCATTTGGCAAAATCTCACCAGTTCCGGCAGCCCCGCAGGCACGACAGGATGGTGCGAGTGATCGAGGACATGTTCGGCATCGCCGTCAACCCGATGACCCAGAAGACGGACCGGGTGCGGCGCTTCACGCTGAGCACGGAGCGCGGCATGTCGGTGTCGATCCTGACGTTGGGCGCCATTATACAGTCGCTGAAGGTGCCAGACTTCAACGGCAAGCTGGAGGATGTGTGCCTGGGCTACGATGACGTGGCAGGATACTACCGGAACCAGCCAAGCTACTTCGGGGCCACAATCGGCCGAGTGGCCAACCGGATAGCCCAAGGGCGCTTCAAGCTCTGCGGCAAGGAGGTGTGTGTGAGCCGGAATGTGCGGGACCGGAACCACCAGAACGGCGGGTTCGTGGGCTTCGACAGCGTCATCTGGGATGTGGTGGGGGTGCACAAGGATGGGGTCACCTTGCAGCATTGCTCGCCCGACGGACACGAGGGTTATCCCGGCGAGCTGACCACCAACATTAACTTTTCGCTGAACGAGACGGGCTGCTTTGGGATGCGCATCGAGGCGCGTACGAAAGCCACCACGGCGGTGAACATCTCGAACCACAGCTACTTCAACCTCGCCGGCCAGGGGGCAGGCCGGGATGCGCTCTACCAGCACATGCTGATGATCAAGGCCCAGAAGATCGTGGACGTGGACCAGGAGCTCCTGCCCACCGGAAAGCTGATGCGAGTGCGCACAACTCCGTACGACTTCTCCAGCCTGGTCAGTCTGGGCAAGCGGCTCAACCAGGTGGCCTCCTGCCCGCTGGGCGGCTTCGACAACAACTTCTGCGTGGATGTCCCGCCCAACCGGGTCCAGTTGGTGGCCCGGGTGGTGCATCCGTGCAGCGGCCGGTTCATGGAGGTGCACACCAATCAGCCGGGTCTGCAGTTCAGCACGGCCAACAATCTGCCGGACGAGGACTGCGGGGACATCCCCAACGTAGGCAAGGACGGGGCCCACTACGTCCGCCAAGGGGCCTTTAGCCTGCAGACTCAGAAGTATCCGGACGCCATGAACCACTGCGACTTTCCGCCGATCGTGCTCAACCCCGGCCAGCTTTACGACCACCAGGTGGTCTATCGTTTTGGCGCCTGTCCAAAGCGCGTTTAGTGGAAGCACCTGAAGAATGAGCGGGAAGAGAAGACCAGCACACTCCCTACATTAAGCCATTTCAAATTTATAGATATCCTTTCAAAATGTAAATCTTTTACCTATTCATAATCATCAGTGGTTTTATTTATTTACATACTGTTTGCATAAATTTAAAAACTAAAGCAACAGGGATGGGCAGCCATACCTTCTTAGGCTTTAATTAATTTCAGTTCAACATTATGTTCTTAATTACTAAAAGTATAATCCATGTAGGCTAACTTAAAGTAAATAAATACATTTTTAATGCGATTCGTTATTACTAAGTGTCTAGTTCAACTACATTGCAGGTGTCTTATAAGAATATCTTAATTATAAAAGCTAGAAATGATTGATTTCTTAAGAAAGTCAAGATGTTGAAGGAGGTTGGTGGTCGTGGGATTGGAAAGAAGTGGGATAAGGTATTTATTTGGGATGCTGGCCCTGTAGTTGTCGAATGCAGTGCATTCATTTAGAATGTGCTCTATTGACATTGAATTATGGTTACAGAATTTACATGGACTGTTTGTTGGTTGGCTAAGTCTATTTTCATGGGTGAGTCTGGGTCTGGTGTGGCCTACACTCATAACAAGAAAGGAAGCTAGCTTCGGCCAGCCAAAGCTTATATACCCTTGCAGATCATTCCTATTAACTTACAAATCGAAAAAATTTTAAATTTCGTATTATTTTGACATTATTTTTTCATACTATGAAAAAACAAAAATTGAATGATTCACGCAGGGCTCTATTCTACATCAATAAATTTGGTAATAGTCTAGAAGAGGGGCCTGTACCCCAAAAACGGCGATAATTATCGGCGGAAATGCATGGTTCTCTTGTAATTGCATTTCAAAGTTGCGTGTTTTGCTATAAAAACAACGTAGCATTTTCTAGGATTTTTAGGTGTTTTGTGACATTTTACTATAAAAACAAAAGAGGACGCTAGTCGGTTTAGTGTCCCGACTGTCTAATATCCGTCACTCAGCTAAAGGGAGTGCGAACGCTGTACTCGGTTTGGTGTACCGACTAATAATCGTAACTCAGCTAAAGGGAGTGCGAGGGAGATAGATATATAAACAATTTTGATTGCTTATAACTTTTTAATGAATGGTCCGATTAAACAAAATTTAAATAAACACGCTGAATCTGGAATCCCTGGAACTGCACCGAGTGAGCATTAAAGTATAGGTATTTACTTTATCTGCAAGGGTATATAAGCTTCAGCTGGCCGAAGGTAGCTTCCTTTCTTGTTTTTATTATTGTATAAAATATAAAGAAATTAATGAAAGTCTTATATTAAATCGAATCAAACTTAACAACTTTTTCTTATCTAATTGGTTTTGGGTATTTAATGAAACATAAAATGTTTCCCATACGAAAAGGAAACAGGCTGCAGTTTTCATTGCAGTGTACATCGTCATTCGCAAAAATGGCCGGACAGCAAGTTCCAATACTTTCGAAAATGCAGCAAATGCAGGAAATTCTGCAAATGCAAATGCAGCCCATACTGCAAATGCAGCCAACACTGCAAATGCAGCAGATCCCACTGCAAATGCAGCAGATCGTTTAGCAGCTGCCAGGACAACAGATTCCACAGCAGCTCCCACAACTGCCAGGACAACAGCAACAGGAGCCAGGATATAGTGGCTCTGCGCACCTGGTCCAGCAGCAGGGTCCACCCCCGAAATGGCCGGCTGGTACGGTAGCGTTCCTACTGCCGTGCCAGTCAGTCACAGGGATTGGAATGGGACCCTGTGGACTACGGTCCCATTCCAGTGCTGGATGTGCTGGGCCAGGTGCAATGAGCACAAGAAAGCTGTTAAGCACAATTGCTTGCGCCAGATACTTGTCCATAACTGTAAGAAATGTCCATTCGCGTCCAGGACATTAAATCAGAGCTGGCACGCTGGGACATGCCGACGAGTGGCGCCTTATGTTCCTGATACAGATCACCAGCTATCACCAATAACAGTGCGGGACTTCAGCCAGTCTTAGTAGTAAGTAACTTAAATAATTATAATATATGTTATTTAATAATCTTTTTAATTTAATACATAGTTCGGCAACGCTTGTTGCAACTCAGTCATAGCAAAGACCAATATAATCTCTAAGATGAGTAACGGCCATACATACGTTTTGCAATATGCAGCTCATTTTTTGGTGGCGACGAAAATCTCGCTCTCTCCGCTCGCACAAAGTTGAGAGCGTAAAAATCAAAACAGAGTGTGCACACCCAGCGGCGAACAGGCGAATGGGGTCTGGAGAAAAAATGCATTACATGTAAAGAAAATGTAACCGATTACTATCGCTGCTTTTCGTTAGAGAAGTTGTAATCAGGGCTCCTATGACTTCGTTTTTTCGTTCGCTAACGATTTCCCTTCGTCAAAAATCACAAACACACATAAAAATTATTGTCTATGTGTTCGTTTTTCGTTTCCCCTCCCTCACGTTTGAGCTTCGGAACTTTAATAATAACAGCATGCATTCTAAATATAGTTTGACGAACTAAAAAAAGCACAGACAATGGCCGAGCGGTTAGCCTTTCCATCCATTATACAATAATACCCATGTTCAATTCCTACATGAGGAAAGAATATTTTTTGTTTTCATAAATGAACATGCATTACAACTCATCATACGTTTTCCAAATTGTATGTTGAATTTTCTCTAGTCCGTCTACATTTTGCATTACAATTTCGGAAAAGTATATTGAATTCGTAATGGAGACCCGAAGGTGATTCGGCCCTAGCATACTTTTCCCATTACTAGTAATGCAAATTTTCTCCCGACCACATTACAAGGCGGCCATGCCTATGGCAAAGTAATCCATGTTGTAATCCATTGTTTCTCTATTACGAGAGGAGAAGTAATGCATTCGTAATCCATTTTGTAATGGCAATTTTCGCCGCTGGGCATGCTTGTGTGAGTAAACACAACTCGTAAACAAGTGCGTATGTGTGCGTACTTAAATTTTCGGCCAGAAATCATTTCTAGGCTAAGAAACTAATTGTGCGTCGAAAAGAACTTCTATGATTGAACAGGATGTTTATTTAAATTGCATTTATGCACCTTTAAAGCGAATATCTGTATATTTAATTTATATTCTCGTTTTACATATTTAAATTAAAGCTAAAAACATAACTTTTAATACAAAACATATAAAACTGCTTGATAAAATTTAAAATATTTTAATCAAGTTTAATATATTTGAATATATTATGATTGTTAAACAAAAACAAAGCGAAGGATATTTAAATTGAATATATTTAAAGAATTCTTCAATTAAATATATTTCGCTTTATTTTTTATCCATGGATTTTTTATTACCTTGAAAATGAAAATATTTAATTAAATTTTAAATTTAAATTAAATGTATTAAACTTTGACCTATACTATTTAAATTAAATACGAATAACATCATATCTAATATTATCAACCTGCATTTAAATATTTTCATATTTAATCACGCAGTATTAAAATTTATGTTTTTAGCTTTACTTTAAATATATAAAACGAAACATTTAATTTGCAGATAATAAGTTTAATTTTTCCACCGTTTTGTTTTTTATATCTAATAAATATTTTAAGTTAATATTATTATTTTATAAAAAGTTATACTATTCATAACAACTCGAATTGAATGCATATAAAACTAATATACAATTTATTGACTATTTAAATTATTTAATCAATTTAATCGAATATTTAACTTATCAACTATTTTAATTATTTAGTATATTTAAAAAATAATATAGTTAATATACAAATACATGTACTTATAAATACTTATTATTAATTTTTACAGGGTATGTTTAATTTTCAAACTTTAGCTACCTTAGGAGTATATATAAATATTATACAAGGACATACATAAAATGTCCATTTAGTATCCTTTTTAGTATTTTGTATGAAAATAAAATTAAATCATTAAATTTTGTGCCATTTAAATTTGATTTGATCAGCGCGCAAACCTTTTTTGTTTCCCCTTAGTGTTTTTCGGATTGCTAAATAATTAAAATAGTTAATAATAATATAATTTTATATAATGTTATTATAATACGTATAATATAAAAAAAATATTTAAAACATAATAAATATACAAATATTCAACCTGTTCAATCGCAATATTTCTGAACCTCCTAAAAATCGTTTACACGTCGCACGCTGAATACCCTAATGACAATTATTCCAATGTGTAGTCATATATGAAATAAATTATGGTTCATTATATACGTACATATATTTGGTCATTACTAAAAAATATACTAAATTCGAATAATTATCATAAAAGGCATTACAAATAAGTGTTTTTAATAATGTTAGAATTTCAAAATAAAGAGTATATTAAGCCAGCGCGCTGCAGCGAAGAAATGCTTGTGAATACATGTGCACACATACAGTCGTCGGTTTTCGCTGTATGCGTACAAGAGAGCGGCTGGCTCTAGGGCGCTCTCTCGCTGGCTTTTGGGCAAGAGAGCGAAAAGCCAGTTGAAAAGCCAGCACCAAAAAATCGTGTGCAAAAAAATCGTATGGCGTTATCCATCTTCATATTCTAATGTCTTTGGTCATAGAGTATGTATGTATAGCCTCTATATGGAGCAGCGCGCAGGGCCCACGGGCATAGAGTAAGTAACTATTGGAGGCAGTGATGCCAGGGGATAAACTTCCGTTTAGCTCCTACCCCCAATTTTATTCAAACTTTCCATATTGACGTGTTTTTGGGTCCTGATTACGGGAAAAATAGCCAAAGTTGGCGTAAATAACGGGATCTTGAAAAAGAACGGTAAAAATCGTAAAATTTTCCGTTTTTTTGCAGTTTTTTCGGAAAATATAAGAAAAATCAAAAATGTTTTAGACAAAAACAGAAGATATTTATAAAACGGATCTTTTCTGTATTAATCATTTTCTTCGTAAACATAAAGGTTTTCGAGGAAAAACTAAAAAACGTATTTTAAGTTGGGTGTGAACATACTAAAATACCATAAAAATGGCGTCAGATAGTTTTCGATTAGCCGATAACAGCATTTTACCTTCTAATCTAGCGATGGACCTATTTTGACTTTTTATACGATGTATCGTGTTCATGTTTCTTT